GCAATCAGACATCCCAAGAAAGTGACTGATTGATGTCATTTACATTATTCAGGGTGTTTATAACTACCAATCGCTCAACATAAAAAGGACAATTTGTACAGTGATCCCTCCATATAAGAATCCCTAACGAGGGTAAATTTCTGTTTGAGGAACTCCGTGTCCCGCACCAAGCCACGTCACTTGGTTTTTGTTGACTTTATACAATAGGCATAAGATACAGGGAATCAAAAAAGCGCGCACTGAGTTGCTTTCTCCTTCTCAATTTGAGCTTGCCCCAGTCTCGCATTACCTGTCATTCTGTACATTTGCTTTCTTTCCGCCCCAGACATGTCGACGAAGCGAACGATACTCACGATGGAGAAAAAGCGTCAGGTGCGGGTGCGCATCAGACGCACACCAGGCATCAAGTTTGCTCAAATATAAGGCTGGTCCAGAGAGGGGCTCGGCTTTTAGGTCTCTAAATCGTCAGTAGAATGTACTCTCCAGGAGCAGACAACGCGTTTCTTGCCAAGGGGCAAAAATGCAATCATTAGGTGCTGTTTTTAGCGGTTTTCGCTGCGCTCCTCGCATACCATCGTCTCAATGACGATAAAGCAATTCTCATAGACGAGCTCCTACCAGAAAAAGGCCGCTTTCGAGCCATTCATGGACTAAGTGAGAACGACCTACGGCATGCAAATGGGTGGTTGCACAAGTCTAAGACTAAACACGGCATCCAGGGGTTTGTTGCCCACGGCGAGGTAGACTCAGTTGATCGCACATATTTGTCAGTGAATCGAATGGAGCTTAAAGAGCTGATTGGCCAGTGTCCACCACAAGAAGTGTTCCATTTTGACGAATCATCTCCCTTCTATCTTCTACCTCCAAACAAGACACTAGAAACGGTCAAGAGAAACCGAAGGAAGTCAGAAAAGGATCGTATCACAGTCGCAAGTTGCTGCAACATGACTGGGCCCAGACGATGAATCTTATTGTCCTAGGCAAGTCAAAGTAGCCACGAGCATTTCGAAAAGCCAACTCCAAGTAAATGAAGTTTGTGTACTTCAACATCAAGACTGCGTGGTAAATAGGCCAAAATTTGCTGAGTGGATTTGGCATTTCGATGCCAAGATGCACGAGAGGCAAGTACTTCTCCTGTTGGACATCGCGTCGTGTCACTATTCCGCCCGTAAATGCTACAATATCAAGCCAATTTTCCTGCCGCCAAACATGACAGCACAATTGTAATCGCTCGACGCAGGTAAGTTTGGATCGATGGTCTCTTGACCAGCAATTTTACGTGTTTACATTATGATAGGAATCATTCGGTCAATCGAGACGCGCGGTATCGAAAGAGGTTTGTTCGAAAGCTCCTGGATGCAATCCTCACCAGAATTGACAGAAAGTTGGATATCCTAGAGGCTGTGCGCTTCGCTGCATGGAGGAGGGAGGAGGTTCCCGGGCAAGGTATTCGTAACTGCTGGAGAAAGTTTGATATCGTGGACGCGGTAACGATGGACGATCACACCCTACTACGCAACTACAACCAACGCAATTATCGATCTGTTAAGAACCATCTTATTAAGTTCATGGAGGGTCTGACTTGCGGTGTCAGCGTCGAGGAGTACATTGGTGTGGATGACGACGAGCCAATCGAGTGCGACTCAGACACGATGGAGCGTGAGGCGGTTAAGGACGACAGTGATGTTGACAGTGTCGATGAGATTATGACTAAGTCATTCTACGCTCAAGAATTTTGTATTTTTTGTTATCCTTCCGTTCGATAACGCATTATAGTGACGAATCGAACAAGAAGCTGGCAAGTACTATCGAGCACGTTTGATAGCCATGATCGATGCAAAATAAACATTGGGCCATGAATGCATTTCTTAGAATGGGTTCAGATCGACCCTCTATAATGGAAATGTTTTATGTAAGGAACGAGGCATTCGCGCCGCGCATTTTGGTCCGCCTCATGGACGGACGACTGTCATGTCATTGACACATAATCGAAAAGTGATATAGTCGTTCTGTCCGAGGCCTCGTGTTAGTCATGCCGACTCGGAAGTAGTTGGCTCGCGTCAATATAGATATGCGCGCAGGAAAGCATTTTGTATAAATGTTATGCTGCAACTTCGCCCACTGATCAATTACACAATGATTAATTGTCCGTTGAATATTTGACAATCATATTCTATGCTCCATTCATTCCTCCTTATGTTCATAATTACCCAATCATTGTTTACTCGATTCATTGCTCACTCTAATCATTGCTTCCCCCATTTTTCTTCCCCTATTCCATTTCGAATCTATTCAGTCTTCGCCCCATTCCGTTCACGCTGCTCTGTTTGTATTGTTGATCCCGTGAGCCAATCGTCGCATCTTCATCCGTCTCCCTCGACTGCCAGTCATAGACACCGCTGGCGTGCCGCTTCCTCCGTCTTTGCACCAGATAGTGGCCGCGTCCATCATGACAACACAGGATGCCGCTGTCCCTCTCGTGGGCAAGAAACTCAGGAGCACGTTGAGCGCAATGGCCAACGAGAGCGCGTCGATCGGCGTGTCGGCGTTTGCCCGTCTTCAGATGGCGAAGATGGGGTGGGCGGTCGGCAAAGGCCTGGGCAAGCACGAGCAAGGCGTGCAGTACCACGTGAAGGTGAAGCGGCGCGTGGAGCTGCAGGGCGTGGGGGCCGAGAAGAAGGAGGTGCACGAGCAGCAGAAGCAGTGGTGGTACAATGTGTACGACTCGGTTGCCAGTAAAATTGTGGTCGACGAGGAGCTGTCCGATGCTGACGAGACCGATCGCGCAAAGAAGAAGCGCAAGCGAGCGAGACGGCTGGAGCGACAAACGTCCGGCAACAAAAGGAAAGACCGACCCGAGCAAGTGCAGTGCGAAGTGCGCATTCCGACGGCCGAAGAGCTGTTTGCTGCGACGGGTGGAAAGCTGTTCGGTCGTCGGGCCTATGGCTCGTGCAACGGGAAGCTGAAACGCGACGAGCTGCAGCTTCAAAAAGCAAAGCTGCAGGAGAGTCAAGATGCAGAGACATCGGGTGCATCGAGCACTGACGTGATAGAAGAGCAAGAAATGGGACAAAGAAGGAAGAAGGCCAAGCAAAGTGAAGCTGAGGGAGTGAAGGAGAAGAAAGAGAGAAAGAGAAAGAAGAAAAAAGAGAAGAAGCGAGCTGCACGTGGCGACTCGATGTGATCCGATCGGCATGTCAAGCTGTCAGTTGCTCGTGATAAACTTGTTGTGGCATTTGTTCAATCCAGTGTTGTTTGATAATCTGGGTGCGGACATACATCTTTAACATTGCGCACAACGCGACACTACATCATCAATACAGTGTGACCGCGCCTCGTTATCTTTGGCGTTGGACATCCTTGTCGGTTGGAGGGCCTTTGCAACATGAAGAGATGGAACGCGTGGTCGATCATCTCGATCTTCCATCAAACAGCCAGCTTGTAATTTTCCTTGATCTCCTGTCTTGATATCTAGACAGTCCGTGGGACGCAGTCTTGACATTTAGTCCGCAAGATCAACCCATCTTTTCTTGTTACCTTCAAGATGGTTTGCATTGTTGAGAAGTTGCCAGACGTAACACATACTCTAAGATTACAACTGCTAACGCGATTGTACCTGGTCGTAGTTCGGGCCATGAGGGCAGTCTATAGTCTTACAAATATGGGATAGAGGTCACGAAACACGTGACGACGGATCGTCAAAGTTAGTCGATTGACTGTTAGATAATGACGAGACGTAAGCGGCGCCCTAGTTTATGTCCGGACATCCTTACCGTACATACAAGTTACACAGGACTCGGACATGAAAAAGAAATAGTCGGTCTGGCTACCCATTTATCCGAAACATGCGTCTGGGTGGACGAGCACGACCAACTCGACGGCGGGTTAGACATAAACGAAAGGATGACGAGCAGAGAGTTGTTCGCGTGCTGACAGTCGGCAGCTCAACTTGTTCAGAGTCGAAGTATCTATACGATAGCAATGAGCATCTCCAGTGGATGTGATAGCACATGCATTACGATTACTTCTACGTGGAAGAGATCCCAGTCAGATGTACCAGCCAACACTGTCGGAGCAGGCAGTACCAAAGAAGCCCACAGCAAACGCATTTGCCGCATCAGCTATGATGATGACGACGTTCTTCCTTTACTTCTTGACTACACAATCGGATGAATGTGAGGAACAACGAGAGCTTGTTCACGACGTCGTATACGGTGCGACAAGCACGAAAAAGCCGACGATCTCCTTTCTCACGCATGAGGAATATGTAGCTTACCGGACTCGCCGCATCGGAAGGAATCTCCGAGGCATGCGCAAGAGCTCGGCCAGCCAGCATGGATTAGGCTAGGGAGTGCAACATCAGTCGTGTATTCCACAACATGCTCTCAGCTTGGTAGGGAGGGTACGTATTGGCTACATAGCATACCACGCGAAAGCATTGCGAGCGATATCGTTTGCACGAATTCGCACGAGGTAGCTGACCTGGCCAAGATGGCTGAGCGCCGTCGGAACAACGCAACTTGCTGAGGCAAGTGAGCCACGAAACTACGCGTCTGTACAAGCAAGCGTATGCTTGAGAAGCAGTTCAGCAGGGATAAAGGGAAGAGGCATCGTCAATGATGCCGCACACTGATGGGCAAAGAGGTACCACGCAAAAGTCTTCCATTACGCGACAATGTTCAGACCGTCATAAACTACTCGCACGACAGCAAACGCTCGTGCAAATGAGTCCGTCGCTGGCTTGAACGAAGACTCTTCATCTTAGATACATTGTGCTAGGAGACCTCCAGTATTAAAGCGTATATCTTTGCGTGCTTGAACCCTCATCGCGTCTATAGTTGTCTCTCGTGATTCCAGGTCTGACGTTGTGCAACTAAAATAACCAGACAGGTCACTGACTCGCATCATCGCTATTGTTTGCTCGCTAGGAAACTTCTAACAGAATCTTGTCCTCTACTGGAGTAGACTCTGTGACGGCATGCGTGCTGTGTGCGAAATGTCTAGTCGCTGTGAGGCTTGCTCTGAACTCGAAGGGCTGCCACCTGATCACGTATCAGACGCTGCTCCTTCAGAATGAGCACAAGCGCCGTTCCAGCAAAGCAAAGTGCGCCCACTGCCACGTGCAGCATGTGAAACATCAACGAGGGTGGTTTCTCGGTCCCGGAATTGAGCAGTACACGCTGAGAGGTTGCAGTCACGCCCATCGAAACCACGAATGCAGACACTACGAGTCGATCTGGCAAAGACTGACGCCAAAAGGACAATCCATTCGCGAAAGCACTGGCCGTCTGGACATTGGGAGCTACTTGGCGGAAGTACGAGGCCAGGAATGCCAGACAATATAGAATCCGGCAGGCCATGTTCACACAGTTTGCCAGGATCAGGCCAAAGGTACCCCAGTCGAGAACTTGCATGAACACAAGCGCACTGACCGCGTATATGGCGAAGAACACACCGAGTAGCTTGTTGAGATGTATGAGTTCCTGGTCGTTTCCGATCGCATGCACCACAGCTTCACAAACTCCATTCACTCCCAAGAGAGGGATGTAGGCGCAATAGACAGCCAATGCGGCGCCTACTCCTTGCCCAACTTTCTCAGCTCCGTACAATAACAGCACCAACGTTTTTGCATAACTTGTTCCGAAACATAGAAACACCAGCCCCACCAGGTTCATAAGCTTGAGCAGCACAAGCAGCAATGTCTGTCCATTCGCCAGCTCATCCATCTTGACTCTCTTGCCATCTTCGTCATCACTTTTTTGCTTCTGTGCAAGCGCAAGCTTACTGAAGATAGCCTTCGTCGCTTCTTCAATAGGCAAGAAGACAATCCTCGGCACGAGTGATCCTAGGTTTGACACCATTCCATAGATTCCCATGTCATGCAGCGAAGCGAACATTGTCAGCACCCACTTGTCGCCTTCAGTAAGGAGATACTTGACTGCACTTTGCACACCCAGCGGTACCAATAACGTCTTCAGTTCTGCGTGACACCACCCAATACCTGGCTCTGTCCGTTTCGGCAACAGTTCAGTCATCGTTGTGAACGCGAACTTGTTGTCGGTATCCGAAGGACGATACATTCGTCGGCAAAAGAACAGCACAAACACGAGCAACACTGTCACTGCATACAAAAGCTCTGCGAGTCCATATGCAATCAAATTTAGCTGCAGCACGACCACTCCAACATACTGCACGGCCGCTCGCACCAAAAAGGCAGCACTCTGTGCTGCGACTTGCCAGCTCACGAGCACACTAGCGTGCGACAAGAGGAACATGGGCTCGGCCAGCGCCTCAATCATTGCAGCACCACAGTACATTGCAAACACGACCGAGTAACTCGATACCGCGTCGCCACTGTCCACCGTCTCGGACGACGTTAAGAGCGCCGTAGACAGCAGCAACAGACCTGCGAGTGCCCACGTGATGGCAGTCGATAGCCACGCGGCGTTTACCAATTGCTGCAACTGCAGTTGTTTCATACCGGCGCCTGTCGTATCAATGGACGGCATTCGGAGAAACGCCAGGCGAAAGCCGTCGCGGAACACGAAGATCGAGGCCAGTGTGAGTTCGAGACGCACTGTGACGGCACCCGTTACATGAAGGTGCAATGTGCGCAGTACGACTGAGTTGGCCACAAACGTTAGCAACCGCTGCACGAAGCGGTAGGAATTGCCGTGGAAGGCTCGAGAGAGCACTTCACTATCGGAGCTGCTCATGCTATGTCTGACGTGGACTGGTGGCGACACAAGTTGCTCGGAAGATCGACGACGGGTAAGCAACAGAAGATGCGCAACATTGGCTTGCCTCGCGCTGTGGACGCCTACTTTTGTCGTGTTTGCATGAGTTGTGTTATTTCGTCGGGCGCAACCGCAAAATTGTCGCACGGCAGAAGAGGTTTAAAACAATATGAGCGGACAGCTTTCTCGCAATGAATAAAAGACACCAGCAGAACTTGTGCTAGATGAAGAACACACACAATGTTGTGGGTTGCTCACAAGGTCCTGAATGTGTTGACCTGCAATACCCGAGACTGTATCGGTATCGAACGCAAAGTATCAATGTGTGTCATCAGGTCGCAATACATGCGTGGTATACTAACAGTTTGGACGTGCTATAAAAACGCAATGACCAAAAGCCGATACAAGACGTGAGTCAACTTCCCGGGCTATGGCATTGCAAGCCAAACCGATTAACTTAAAGAGGCTTACAGTACTTTTGTACGACCACTAACATCATATTGAGCTCAATTTGCCAATCTATTCACATCGAGTCGCCACGTGCAGCTTGCTTCTTCTCTTTCTTCTTCTCTTTCTTCTCCCTCTTATTTCTTTCTTCTCCCTCTCCTTTTCTTTCTCCTTCTCCATCTTTTCCGTCTTTTCTATCCCACCAGCTTCACTTTGCTTGGCCTTCTTCCTTCTTTGTCCCATTTCTTGCTCTTCCATCACGTCAGTGCTCGATGCACCCGATGTCTCTGCATCTTGACTCTCCTGCAGCTTTGCTTTTTGGAGCTGCAGCTCGTCGCGTTTCAGCTTCCCGTTGCACGAGCCATAGGCCCGACGACCGAACAGCTTTCCACCCGTCGCAGCAAACAGCTCTTCGGCCGTCGGAATGCGCACTTCGCACTGCACTTGCTCGGGTCGGTCTTTCCTTTTGTTGCCGGACGTTTGTCGCTCCAGCCGTCTCGCTCGCTTGCGCTTCTTCTTTGCGCGATCGGTCTCGTCAGCATCGGACAGCTCCTCGTCGACCACAATTTTACTGGCAACCGAGTCGTACACATTGTACCACCACTGCCTCTGCTGCTCGTGCACCTCCTTCTTCTCGGCCCCCACGCCCTGCAGCTCCACGCGCCGCTTCACCTTCACGTGGGACTGCACGCCTTGCTCGTGCTTGCCCAGGCCTTTGCCGACCGCCCACCCCATCTTCGCCATCTGAAGACGGGCAAACGCCGACACGCCGATCGACGCGCTCTCGTTGGCCATTGCGCCCAACGTGCTCCTGAGTTTCTTGCCCACGAGAGGGACAGCGGCGTCCTGTGTTGTCATGATGGACGCGGCCACTATCTGGTGCAAAGACGGAGGAAGCGGCACGCCAGCGGTGTCTATGACTGGCAGTCGAGGGAGACGGATGAAGATGCGACGATTGGCTCACGGGATCAACAATACAAACAGAGCAGCGTGAACGGAATGGGGCGAAGACTGAATAGATTCGAAATGGAATAGGGGAAGAAAAATGGGGGAAGCAATGATTGGAGTGAGCAATGAATCGAGTGGACAATGAATGGGGCGAAGATTATATCGGGCAATTGGTCATTGACCAATTAACTATGGAGATGTATAGATACACACCCACCCTTTGATACGTTTACACACCCCTAAAATAGAGGCCCCTCCTTTAGTACCGTAACTTCCCCAACCAGGTACTGCACACTTTTACATTAACAATGCCATTTACATATTCTTCGTTTTGTATACACCCCTCCGTAAGATGGGCCTCTTTTGTGTCAGCACACTCCCTTGCGTTTGAAATCCGCTTACATTATCCGGTACACCCCCTATACGTAGCCCTAATACTAACATTTCCCCAATTTCTAACAGCGTCCAGAACAACGTCAACGATGCCTGAGATACGAGCAAAAATGAAGCTGTGCAGCCGCGTGAGCTTTCGCAGCGAGAAGCAAAGATGCGCAGCATGTGACCTGCGCGTTGCTCTGCTCATTTTCGTACCCGCCATTTGTCTCATTGTGGTGCTGTACGACTTCCTCTATTTACTAGAGTACACTGCCTGCACGACCGCAGGAGACCGTCTCGTTGTGAGCAGAGCGGCGTTTGCGCACGGAAGACAACGCAGCAGTTGTTACCTCTATGTCGCATCCACTTGAAGCCACTCGTTTCAATGGACGTCGCACGATCGTTCTGGTAGCCAATTACCGCGACTCGACCAGGTGAGCAGGTGCCATATATACACATCGGGGTACTTGTGTCTGTGTAAATCCGACCTCTGGATGATTATTTGCTGACTTTTATGTGAATGTGAAATATGTCTTTGACCTGCTTTGTAACGGGGCAGCCCGTTACATGGAATTGTCACTTTAAAGAAAGTGACAATAAAGAATAGTAAGTTGAATATTATTTGAACAATATCACCGATAGTGGTGATATTGATGAGGCGACCAAAGGGTCTGCTCATTGGTTGATATCTTGATGATATCAACCCACCAATCGCCGCAAGACGCGCGCAATGAGTGGTGACGAGACGTCACCATACACTCAGTTACATTAGCATAATTAAGTTAAGTCAAACGGAGAGACAGTAACAAAACGACTTAATTATATTAATACAACAGTTTTACTTTTCCCTTATCTACGCTTCCTCGTTTGCCTCGTGTACGTCTGTCGGGGCACGCTCAACCCTTGCGTTAAGTTCACGCAAAGGTGTGCTCCGTCACACCTGGTAGCACTTTGTAGTCCGTCCAAGGACCACAGCATCCAACATGAACATGCTGGATGATGAAGAGACCTTTCACGCCACGCGTGAAGAATTTACCCATTTGAGTGACATCGAATGGAGTGCGGTAGAACGAATGAGTTCTACCGTAGGCGAGTTCGCCATTAGCGCCATGTTGGAGTCTCTAGACAGAGACCAACAACATGCCGCTATCGCCAAATTTATTCAAAATGAACTTGTCGCCGAAAGAGAGAAAGTAACCTTGCTTTGCCAGCAAGGCTCTCAACAGGCCGAGCAGTTGAGAGAACTCGGTGCTCAACAGACAGAGCTGTTGAGACAGCAGCAATTCCATGCTGCTGTTGGGCGGGACGGCACATGCGCGTCGTCCCGAGGTCATGAAGGTTGACATCTCCAAGTACAGTGGAGTCCCGGAGGACTCCCTGTTACTATGGTTTGTCGAACTCTACAGAGCCTCTAAGGGCTCGTCGCGTCGAAGATGAGCAAATGAAACTCACATTTGCTTCAGACCCACTTGGCAGGGCGTGCCAAAACTTGGTCCCTGGGACTCGAGAGTAGCGACCCAAATGTGTTTAGGTCGCTAGATGACTTCAAATCCCGGCTCAGACAAACGTTTGAGCCGCCACAAGCTGAGTTCAGGACTCGTTCTGAGCTCCTGAAACTCCAGCAGGGTAAGCGTGATGTGCACGCTTACGCACAACATATACGACTCCTAGCGAGTAGTATAACTGCTAACCCAGTTGATGAACACACGTTGATTACGGTGTTCATGCAAGGGCTCGCAGAAGGGCCCGTCAGGATCCACCTGTTCCGCCTTGAGCTGAATACGCTGGAAGATGCGTTATCAGCCGCGGAACAGGAAGATTTTAGCATTTGACAAGCTCATGCTAGCTCAAACTCTTATCGTCCACCAAGACGACAAGAGATCGGAGGTCCAGAACCAATGGACCTCTGCTATGTTGAGAGCGAGAGACCTCGCTCTTCAAACAACAAGCGATTGCAGAGGTGCAATCGCTGTCAGAAGTTAGGGCACTACGCATACGAGTGTAGTGCTCCACGCCCAGTACCAAACAGTACTGAGCGAAATGGACGACCATTTGCCAGAAAGGGCAATGGGCGTGGGTCCAGCGCTGTTGCGAAGCCGCAACAGCGAGACGGACCATCAAAAAATGGTCGGGGTCAGTAGGGGCGGAGCGCCCTACTGATCCAGCAACCTCAAGAGAATTTGCGAATCTCTTGACGAAAGTTGCTCCAGATACACAATCATAGTGTGTCTCTGCACCTGGTGATGACGTTTCGCTCATCACCTTGAAGTTGGAAGCGACAAATGATTTGTCGCTTCGTGCCCTAGTCGACTATGGGGCGTCGAACAACTTTGTTTGTCGCCAGTCACTAGAGGGTCGTAGGCTCAAGTTCGTTGAGCGCGACATTCCCCGCACGAGGATGACGGTGCGCCTTGCAACAGGCGCATCGATTACCGTCGAGAAACGTGTAGTAGGAATCCACTACACGGTAGAGGGCGAACAGTACGATGATGACTTCATCGTACTGGATCTGGATGACAAATTTGATGTCATCCTGGGATTACCTTGGCTCAGAAAGTTACGAGCCAAGGGTGAGCTGGCAGCATCGATCCGTGAAGATGCCTGCTGCTTGTTCATCAGATGGCCATCTGATGAACATCTTGGAGCGTCCACAAGCGTGTGGATGTTCTGCGAGTGAGTGCGATGGCCTCACTTGCGGTACGGTCGTTAGCACGACTGCACAAGATCACAGTGTAGTTGATCACTACACTGTGGAGCAAGCTCCCGGCGACTGTACAGGAGTACAGGCTGCCCCGAAGTTCCACCACTCGAATAATTCGAGTGGACCGGGACGTGGATGCACGCCTAGCGGGCGACATCCTAGCAAGAGTAAACCGGTTGCTTACAAGCGGCAACACGGATATCCTAGGTCGACTGGAGAGTCGACCGTAGAGGATCGGTATCTGAATGTGGTTGCACAGCCACAGTCAGAAGACGTCGAGGGAATAAGTCCCCACGTACTTGAGGAAGGAATTCCTCAAATAGTCACTTGCTGAAGGATTAGGCTTTCAGCAACCTGTGGAACGAAGTTCCCAGGAAGTAACCGAGACGTTGAACGTCTTGGTTAATGACGGATCAAGCGTAGGCGCTTATACGCTTGATCTGATTGTGCCTCCGAAGTTAACTTCGGAGATAACTCAGTTGCCAACGCTAGAACCGAAACAGTTCTTGCGTGATCTGCGTAGTGGCAAAGTCAAGCAGATCTGCATACTCGTCACAGAGGATGAGTATGTTGATCGATATTCGGTCGGCGACAGTATTTGCTGAGAACGAACGGGTTCTCAGCAGCTCATCGATGGACGAAAGTGTCCTCGATGAGAAGACTCGGATTGAGCGATACACGTCTCAATCCTGGGAGTCACTTCAGGCAAATCCTTTGTATAAGGATTTGATCGAATTCAAGGACGTATTCCCTGAATCCGTACCTTGCGAGTTGCCTAAGGACAAAGGCACTCGACACGAGATCGAGCTCAAACCGGGCTCGAAGTACTGTGTCATGAAGCAGTGGACACTGCCTCGTGAACAAGTACTAGCGATCGACAAGTTCTTTGCCGATCGCTTAGCAGCGGACCATGTGAGGAAATCAACATTCCCTCACAGCTCTCCGACCTTCTGTGTGCGAAAGGCCACAGGAGGATGGCGGATAGTGCACGCATTCAACAAGTTGAATGCTGCAACGGTACCGGCTCAGACGCCGATACCGAGGAAGGACGTAATCATAGATGGTATTTCAAAGAGTACCATCTTTTCGTCCATGGATCTGATGGATAGATTTTATGAGATCCTCATTCGTGAACGGGACATCCCGTTCACGGCAGTAAGCACCCCCAGCGGTATGCTGTGGGATTGGCTAGTGATGCCTACAGGGGCTGAGCCATGCCCCTGCAACGTTCAACAGATGTGTTACAAATCTGTTGAGACCGGTGTGTGATTTCGCACCGAGTTACTTCGACGATGTGTTCGTCCATAGTCGGGCTATGGACGGAAAGACGGACGTTGAAGTTCATAGAACTCACGTTCATCAAGTCCTTCAACCTATGCGCAAGCATAAGTTGTATGCCAACCTCAAGAAGTGTATATTCGCGGCTAGCGAAATACCACTTCTTGGGTGCATCGTGGGTAAACACGGCGTACGCCCTGATCCCGAAAAGATCAAGGTGATCACCGACTGGCCAGTGCCAGTCGATGTCAAGGGACTAAGGAAGTTCATTGTTCTAGCGGCGTACTTGCATAAGTACTCTCGCAACTACGCCGAGATGACGGTACATCTTTCTTGCTTGCATAAGAAAAATGTCAAGTGGTCATGGAACGCTGAGTGCCAGCGTTCCTTTGAGGGTATCAAGCAAAGCTTGATGCAATCGCCGATATTGGCGATTGCAGATCAGGACAGACCATTTCATGTGGTCTGTGACGCCAGCGATTTTGCAATCGGCTGTGCGTTAGTGCAGTTCGACGCAGATGGCGCGGAGCGCGTCATCTGTTATCAGTCGCGTCAG